TATATATATATATATATATATATATATTGTTTCTGTTCAGTGCCCTGAGATGACTTCTGTTGTGACTTGGAGCTATATAAATGAACTGAATTGAGCTTTGGTTTTCTCATCCTGTGTGTGTTTGTGTGTTTACTTCGTGTCTCCAACCGTTGCAGGACTTGCAGGACTCGGCTCTGAGTGAGTTCAATAAGTTTGAAAGACAGAGTTCCTCCAAACACACCCCTGACGTGGTCCTGGACACACTGGAGCAGCTGAAAGGCATGAGTGGAGGAGGAGCTTCGGAGCCCTCCAGTCCTCTGCACTCCCGTCTGCTGCGGGACAGTGAGGGGGGGTCCTCTCATCTACACCCACTCCAGCGCAGCGCCTCCTCAGCCAGCGACGTCCCGTCATCCTTCCGCCCTGCTAAGAGCCAGCTGCGGAGCCCCCTGCCCTCTGCCACGTCCCCCTCCTTATCATCCTGCTCTCTCTCCTCATCTGTACCTTCCTTTAGGGAGCAGCGCCCCCCAGCCACAAGACCCAAGCCGGTGGTGTTCCCGAAGAGTGGAGGAGGGACTGGGAGTCCAGCAACGGGCTCCCCAACTTCCACTGTACCGCCCACGCCACCTCCCCCACTTACACCCCACGCACACTCGCTCCCTCACGCCCCTCCTCCTCCTCCTCCACCCCAGTCCAACGACAAGTCCTGCCCAGCATAAGTCTCCTAAACCAACTGCAAAATGTTTCCTCTAATAAACTCTTAAATTTTCACATCTGTTCTTGAACGTGCAAAAATCACTTCAGTCGTTTTGTGTAGAACTCACAACTCCCATGTAGCATTTACTTCCTGGTGCGCAAACAAGTTCTTGAATTTTATTTTATTTTTTTAATCAAGCGACAAGAGTCTTCCCTCTTGTGGCAGCTCTGCTTTACTACAACTCAGCCATGAAAAGGTGCAGAACCAGATTCCTTACATGGATTCAGGGTGGACACATGCAGATCTACAAACGCTTGTTTTGGATATAGTTTTGTTTGCGTGGAGGTGTGTTCGAGTGTTACTTTCCTTTACACACAGATTTACACCAGGAACAAGAAGCACTGTTTGATCGTGTTTTGTATAATGGACATGACAGGTTTTCCTTTTGATTTTTCTTTTTATTGAACCCGTGACTAGCAGATCAGATGAAAGCGTTTGATTTCTGACAGTAGACTGTGAACAGTGAAGCTCTCGTTTTGTAGAAATGAAACACGCTGACTTGCTGCTTCAGAGGGCGTAGATGGGAATTAGGAGCGGGTCTTCGGGATGATGAAAGGATGAAAAACTGGGCCAAATATCAGTGCAAGTCATGTGATGAAGAGCTGTACTTTATCTCTTCTTCTTTGATTTTATTGCTGTTCAGAACCACAATGGGAGCATAACATGACCCGTACACCTAATATGGCCAACTGTAATTCTAAATCAAACATAGCAATTAAACAATAAAAGCTGATTTTTAAAACAATTCTGCTACACGTGTAGGGGACCACTGAAACAGCATTTTTATGTCTTTATAGACCGTGCACACACACACACATTTGCTCCTAATGGGTGTGGGGGTGTTTTGAGGAAGCTAAACACCGATCAGGTTTTCCTTGCATGCCGGGACCGTGCACAGCAGCCACAGCACCAAGCTGGTTGATTGATATATATATTTTTTTAGCTATAAAACAACTTCAAACCCAATTACGTCTATTATAGCTTCTTTTACTTATATGCTGCATAATTAACAGCAAAAAGGGTTGAGTTATTCTAATTCCATGTGTGTATATTGAATAATCATAACTGGAAGCATGCAGCTGAGGCTCCTTCTGAGTGTGCGTGGATAAAAGCGCAACCAACCACCTCATCTTAACTTAATTTTTGTTTTTATTATCGCTTATTCTCGGTTAACGCCAAGAATCTTAAACGAATCTGATCCAGCGTGGACTGTTGTATCGATCCGTGTGCAGGCGTGTGCACATGATAAAGATTAATTATGCACCTTCCAGAGCCCTGCATGCACAGCACAAACAGATGCAGACTTAAAGGGATAGTTTGAGTTGTTTAAAGTGGGGATTCTGTGAATAGGTTATAAACGGTTAATATCTTACCTGTTGTGGGTAACTCTTTGAATGGCTTAAATTATGACTTGTTTGATCATGACCAAGACCAAAGAAGATTCCTGCCATCTTAGATAGGGATGCACCGACCCTTTTTTTTATTATTATTTCCGATATCGATATCAAATGTTTAGTGTCGGTATATATCGAGCCGATATCGATATAATTCTGAAAAGCTACTGAATTAAAACATTAGTTTTTTTGTATGCAGACATAAATGTACTGAATTACAAATTTATTGAAAATTGTGCACCAGTACAGCGCACTTAAACACACCAATAGATTCACAAGCTTGGTCAAACATGTAAAAAAAAAAAAACAACACAACTTTAATTTGTTCAGTCAGTGCAATTGTGAATACAACGTCCAGTGTAAAATAAATAAATAATAAAGATACTGAATCTGACAAAAGCAATAGGTTGACAACTTTGGTCAAACATGAAAATATAAACTTCAACGAGCCTTTCAAATGGTTCAGGAATTCTAAATATAATGTAAAATAAATAATAAAGGAGCTGAAATGAGAAGAAAAAACAAAAGCTTCACTAGCTTGGTTGGCAGATATTTGAAATAAACAGCAATCAGCTCCTGTCCTTATGGATCGGTCACATTGTCACAATACCCGATTAAACATTGTTTTCCTCTATCAATACTAATATCAGATCTGTGCATCTAGTCTTAGAATCAACAATTGTGTGTATAATTTCCACAGAATCCCATTTCAGAGGTTTTAAACTACCATTTTAAGACGCGTGTTGGAAGATGTGCAGGAGAGCAGTTCAGGTTCTGCAGCTTGTACGCACTGGGCTCAAGTGGTTTGATATTTAAGATGTTGTCTTCAGTCAGTATTGTCTCAGCACCAGTAGTGAAACATTTTGTTTTAATGGAAAAGTAGTGAGGAAACCAAAACATCTGGTCTGTTCTGTTCCATGTTGTTTGCTTTTTTTTTTTTTTTTCAAAGTTGTATCTACAGTATGTGGAAAAAACTAAGCACACCGCGTAAAACTTTGTTTTTGTTGTAGTTTATTGTCTTGTGGGGGGAAGTAAAGAACACATTTTCCTGTTTTATCACATCTTTTCCCCTAAAGCTACAGTACAGTCTGCATTCCTGTAATAAACTGTTATAATTGTCAACTTTTCTTGAAATCTTTATAGACTTTCTTGGTGTGTTTTATGCTTTTTCTGTTTTTTTTACCTCAATGTGACAACTGGAGGGACTGTGTGTGCTTGTGTGATGCAAAAAAAAAAAAAAAATCACCTTGTCAACATTTTCACACACGACAGACGTGCATGTGGGTGGTTGGTGTGTTTGTCTCGGTTGCAGGATCTTATTTGATCTCAAATCAATCATTGTGCACTTGAACAACTTGGCCTGCATGTGGATTTAACTGTGTGGGGATAATACGTTGAGTCGAATATGTTAAATATGCTTTTTGTGTCCATTTGGAAAAGACAGAACTTAAAAGAAGACTAATGTCAAATCTATTTATAGTTGTCTCTGTATTACTGAAGAATCCTGTGTTCAGATGTACTTTGTATATACAACGTTGTACATTACAGAGGTACATTTTTTGGTACAATAACTGTACAGTAATAGCAATAGTAGTTTAATCAAATAGGCCTTATATAATTCTGTGTAGTTCTTGTAGTAGATCTGTTTTTTAATAAACATGGCTTGCTATAACAATGTTGCTCCCTTGATGTTACAATGTAGTATTGTTAAAATTTTATGAGTTATTAAACACTTGAGACACCATGAATAAATGCAAATAAAGTACCAGTACTCGTGTAAAAAAAAAGTTTGGAGAAAATTGAAGGTGTGCCCTCAACTTGAACAACTCTCTTGTGAATGCTGTAGTATCGTTAGAGCAAATAGATTAAAATGTAAATAAAAATGCAATTAAAGCACTGACTTTATACCAAAGTATGAGATTTCAAGTGTTTAAGACGAGAGTATTGGATCCTTACTCATGACAAAACGGATTTACAAAGGTGAAATAGTGCAAGAGGATAACTAAAGGTGATCTGGTTTGATATTTTAATTAAGGTAAAATGAACGACCACAGAAAAATGCAATGTACTAAAACGGTTACAAAGACGGCTGTACAGCCTCTGTGCATTAGCCTTAAAGGTTTTATGTCCGGAAACAAAATAAAGTCAAACTGTCTAAGTCATTTGGCTTCCAAGCCTTGCATGAATAAGTAATTATTATTATTTATATATAATATCACCACCTAGTTGAGGATGTTCATTCAGCTGCTGTATATTACTGAAAATGAAAATAAAATGTGACTAAAGTATTGGTATTCAGCTGATTTTGCTAAATATGCTTAAAAAATGAACTAAAAGAACCTGCATATAAATTACATCTGCTACACCTGATTGAAATTAAATTAAAAAGTCCAAAAAAAAAAGGTTTATATATATATATATATATAATGTAAATGCTTTGGGCAGTTTACAATATAAATTTGTTACAGAGTGTTTGAGTTTTTAGGGCTTTTGCATTGGTACACTACAGCAGAAACAGCAGACAAATACGAAGAAATGTAAGTAGAAAAAAAAACTATAAATCTAGGTTTTAGCATGGCAAATTTACAGCTATGGATGTGAAATTTGGCTAATATTCGTATTAAATGTACAAGAAAAACTTTCTTACTTGGAATATTCAAACAGAAAAAAAAACAGTATAGTTTTACCGTCAAATGGTCGGTCAGTTTCTAATTTTCTATTCACAAACAAGAACATGTCTTTCCAGAACAAGTGAGTAGAAGGACAGTCCCAGAAAAGATGGGTGATGGTCTCCTCAGAGCTGTGGCAGAGTGAACACATTGGGTCTACATTTGGACAATACTCGGAAATTATACAATTGACAGGATAGCATTTATGCAGAATCTTTAGAGACACTTTTCAAATCTTATTAGCCATGTTTGCCATTGCAGGATGTTGTATTTGTTTTGTATTTAAAAAAAGACATCCAGCAGTTAATGTCATTAAGTAAAGTTATTTTATGGTTTATAATGTAGTTTTAATGAAAAATGAACATATTGGTGGGCCAAACTGAGTTCACCCGTGGGCCTGATTTGGCCCCGGGGCCACCAGTTGAACAGCCCTGCTCTGTTTACAGTTATATGTAATTACAAACATCCTGACCAGGACTACATTTTATAACTAATTTTGTTAAGGAGCATGGTTGGCCACAGATAACACAAAATATGCATAACTGTGTCATAAAAGTGCCTACACAAATACCAAGCCTGTAATGAGGAGTCAAATGACGTAATGTCCAGAGAACTCGGAAGTTCTCGTGTATTTCCGCCAGTATCACCCGAAACGTCCGCCCCCTCCGAAGCCCACACTTCCTCCATCAGACGCCGCAGCAGGAGCTCCGCAGTCCGGCTGCTGCCGCCTCAAGACCCCGCTGAACTGTCAGAATCCACGGGAACGAGCCCGGAGGAACCGGCGTGTCACCGGTTCAGAAAGCAGCCATTATCAGTCAGGTTGTCAGCACGGACGAAGTTTCACACGTAGGCGTATTTTATCGTGTTGTTTTTGGCAGAAGTTTTATTTAAGACGGTTAAACGTGCGCGAGCCGCATTGATTACAGTGAAGCTAATCGACGAGCCGTAAGCTAACACTACGTTTACATTAACTTACACCAACCGCCTGAGAACATGCTGTTTGTGTTTATATGTTTGCTAACATTTCAACAGGAGTTGCTGTTTCTGCACAGTTTACAGCACCTTCCTCCATTCAGCATGTCAGTGATGACAGCCAGTACAACTAACTACCTGTGGTCTTTACAAGACGTCCTGGGTCAAGGAGCTACTGCCAGTGTTTACAAGGCTCGCAACAAGGTAGCGAAAAAACATCTGTTGAAACTTAGCTCAAAAATTAAGGTGTGTGTTGTTGTTGTTTATTGGATTGGATGATTGAAGTCCGAAGAAGCAAGAGGTGTTTGCAGTTTAATAATTTATTTGCTTGACAAACGGAGGCCTCAGTGGAATGTGGAAGAACCATACACAGCCACAATAGCCTGACACCGCCTCCTGTTCACCAGCTCACTGCTGTGGGATGGCATCCCATTCGCAAGCAGCATTTGTCGCAATCCACATATTCAACTCTGCTGCTCAACACACAAATGTATTTTCCGTACAAATGTGGCACCAATTATGGGGAAATGAAGAGACTTTCCAACAGTATACGATTTATTGCAGAGAAGCATTGTTACAACAACAAAAAAATAAATTCAATATGAATTCCTTACATTTTGGGCTACACACATGCAGAATAATGTTTCATTTCTCAAGAAAAGCGATTCAGTTAAAAAGCAACTGTCTGTTTATTTGCATGCCTGTCGAGTAAACCAAAGAAATGAATCAGAAACAAAATATTTTGTTGTTTTTGTTGCAAAAAATATGCTTAAATAGTACGAAGAGATTAGTTGGTACCAGTGGTGTAGTCTACATTTTTGTACTGTGTATACTGTGCTTAGAAACTGAAGTATGCCGGTTAATACAATGTAATTGTCACTTTATTTAGATTTTTAAGCATATTGAACATTTCAAAATTTCTCTGATGCTTCTATTTGAATAAATGCACAACAAACTTTGTACAACAGTTGGTTTTGTGTTAAAAACATGTTAGCATCAAAGCAAAACATGTTCAAGTAGTAAGAAGTATTAATTATACAAAAAACAGGTTGAACCAACTCGCTGTGTCTATAAAATGTTCCAAATGTGTTGACAATGACACACTTTTAAGTGGGTATATTGTAATTCCCAAGCTTTTCTAATGGGTATACTCCATATACCCACATATCACATAGACTACACCACCACCCTTTAAAAGACTATTAGTATAAGAGTCATGTTTAAGACTGTTCAATGTTAATTAGTATTACAGATACCTTCAAGCATTTTTAGCCATTCAACCTATTTAAAGAGGAAAAAAACATGCCACTGGATAGTTTAGTGTTATTGTGTTCATCACACTTGACCACAGAAAGCAAAGGCGGGAGCTGTCTGAGGAGCTTGGAAAGAATATACATATCCACAAAGGCTACACGACCATTTTCAAACAGCTTTATGTTTCTGTGACCACAGCTGTCAAGTTTATTCGAAAGTGCAAGGTTCATGGGACTGTAGCCAACTTCACAAGACATGGATGCAAGCAAAAATGTAACCCCAGATTGACTGGAAAAATTGTGCAAATGGAAGTAAAAAAGACAAGGAAGCCAATTTAAATTTAATTTTAGTCAAACAGATTCAACGTTGCGTCACTTTCAGCACCATATACATCTGTGGAAGAGGACTCGGGAGAAAAACACAAAAAGGTCAGACGGGAATTTATGAAAAATGCATGTTGACAAGCCCTGAAATTCCACAAAACTTGCTTTTTGAGTCAGTTATTGTGAAAGGGTACCTACAAATTTATCTGCGTCTTTATGTGGGTTTTTTTTGTTTTGTTTTTTGTTCAACTCAGGGTTTAGTCTTGTTTTTAGTTCAGAAGTGAGATGAAAAGATAAGAAATATCTGTGGTTCCAGTGATGTGGGTTGCTGCTGAAGCTCTTCCTTGATGATGTGAAATGTGTGCTTGTGCAGAGATCGGGCGAACTGGTAGCCGTCAAAGTGTTTAATACTCTGAGCTTCAACCGGCCCCACGACGTCCAAATGAGAGAGTTTGAAATGCTCCGGAAGCTCAACCACAGCAATATTGTCAGGCTGTTTGCTGTCGAGGAGGTAAAGCAACTATGAAAGGAGGAAAAATGTGTAATAGTTCATAGTAGCAATGCTTTTAAATCTGTGTTCTATAATTCATGTGGATAATAAATAAGAATTTATGGTTTTTGTAATATGTTTCACATTTTCTTAAAGTGCTGCTCGCTAACTAGTTTCTTTGCCAACAGCTGCCGACTAAGCAGAAGGTGTTAGTGATGGAGTATTGTTCAGGGGGGAGTCTACTCAACCTGCTTGAGGAACCTGAAAATGCGTTTGGCTTGCCTGAAACGGAGTTCCTCACTGTGTTGCAGTGTATAGGTGAGTGTGTATGTGTGCCTGTGACATCATTCTACAATCGTCAGTACCCTCATGGTGTAATCTACAGTGCAGGGCATGAATCACCTTCGAGAAAATGGAGTGGTGCATCGGGACATTAAACCAGGGAACATCATGCGGAAAGTTGGAGAGGACGGCAAATCCGTTTACAAACTGACCGACTTCGGCGCCGCAAGAGAGCTGGAAGATGACGAGAAGTTTGTGTCTATTTATGGAACCGAGGAGTATTTGGTAGGATTAAAATCTAATACGCAAACTCAAAAGAAATGGACAGAACTGTGTTTAGCTCTTAACCACTTGACTATCCATGCTGCTGATCTCACGCTGCTGATTTATTTCACACTGCTGTGTTCATTTGTACTCATCTTCTCACACAGACTCATGTTTGTGCTGCTGTTGTTCGTAGGCCTGTCACAGTAACACATTTTGCTGGGCGATTAATTGTCTCAGAAATTATTGCGATAAACGGTAATATTGTTTGAAATGTGACAATAATTAGTAATTATTATCAAATTTAAGAAGAAATGTTGGTTAATTTTATTTTGAGTGCAGTGACTTTTTTGACCACCGGATGGCAGTATAAGACTGTTTGAACTTAAGGATGGATAGTGAGGGAACGAGCAGCATGTCTCTTTAAGGAAAATGGGAGGGAGGCCCCTTGACATGACATGGGCTGCCTCTCCTTTCTTTTTTTCCTGGCTCCCAAACTGGTGGACGTTCGGTGTGGTTTGAGCTCTTTAGCTTAGCATTTGTCACACAAAGCTTTTAATAATAATACAAAAAATATATCAGTAAACCAGTTCTCAGCTTATTTTTGCAGAAAAAAACTTTTTTGGAGCTTCGACAAGACAAAGTTTTTTTCCAAGGTCAGCCTGTTAGCGTAGCTCGTAGTTTAGCTTCTCAGCTTAACTGCTTTTACCGATCCAAAAACGCAACTTTGGACGGTTAAAACAGATTTTAAAGAAAAAGGCAGGGGTCAGTGAAGAGCAAAGAAGTTGAGCCTTTTGTCATCCAGTGTCTTCAGTAGAAAGAGACAGACACGAAGAAGCGATAAAGCCGATAAATGAAAATGAGGTTAATAATTTTCATTTATCGTGCGATTAATTGATTTATTGTTTATTCAATTTATACTTTTCTTGGTTGTAACTGGGACCCTGTGTACACAATTTTGTTCCACCACCTGCACCACATGTGGTATGAATGACAATAAAGACACTAATTTAATTTAGGATGATTTTGATTGGAAAAGTTGTTTGTTGGGGTTTCTGTTTTATTTTTATATATTTATTTTTGGGGGGAGAATTTTGTGTTTCTAATTAGTTACCACTGAGATAATGGCTTAATTGAAGTAGGCAAGCCACAAAAGTCCTTAAAACTTTTGAGGCAAATGTTGTAAGGACTTTTTAGATACATATCATATTCATTCGCCGTATGATCTAGCTGTTTTTGTTACTCTTTGCCATCTTATTTGTTAAAAAAAAAAATCTGTCGCTGTTGTCCATTGTTGTCATCATTCTTTGTTGAAATCAGGTCTGTCTTGTAAATGAGTCCTCGAGGCTCAATGGGATTTCCCTGTCTAAATAAAGGTTGAATGAATATGTTTACACTTTTCAGAAAACTGGCTATAATGTAATAAGTAGTGTTCAAACGTTGTACAAAATATATTAAATCCATTTACTTTGTAAATGTAAAATTTGTCTGATACAAAATCCAGGAAATGTATTCATTCTCCTGAACCGTTTGCGTTTTATTTGAATTCATAACATTTATTGACACTTCCTGCTGCCTTAACAAGGAAAAAGATTGAAAGATGACCACAGATGCTTTAGCAGAAACATGTTCATCGTAACCAGATCACAGACACATAAATAGTGAAAGCTCTTGATGTCTCAAAAGTGATGAGTCCTTCCACATTTTGTTTTCCATCGAAGCCTTTCTGATTGATCCCAGCAAGTTGTTGACGTAAACAGTAAAATAAATGTTTCTTTTTTATGTTAAAATTACACAAAGTTATAATAAAATGATGTGTTCTTAAGGAAATTGCAGAACCCATTTTTAGGTCACAAGTCCCATCGTCAGTTTTCACATTAACTTCCAATAAACAAAAGCTTAAAAAAATAAACATACTCTGATTTTAGGTGTTATTTTATTAACAAAAACAGGTTGGCCCTCTACTGGCCAAATAAGTACATCGTGTTATTGTGTTTCTCCTCTGACTTTTTGTGTTCTTGTGTATAGCACCCAGACATGTATGAACGGGCTGTGCTGCGGAAGCCTCAACAGAAATCATATGGCGTTAGCGTTGACTTGTGGAGTATCGGTGTGACATTATACCATTCTGCCACGGGGAGTCTTCCTTTCACACCGTTTGAAGGACCTCGCAAAAACAAGCCCATCATGTAAGCCAAACCTGTACACAAACTTCTGATGGCAGTTTTGTTTAGTGATATAATGCTGAAATCCTGCCTTTTTGTTTTGTCTTGTTGTGCAGGTTTAAGATAACTACAGAGAAACCAATGAGGGCGATAGCAGGCGTGCAGCGGGTAGAAGGAGGACCGATAGAGTGGAGTTACCACCTACCTCACAGCTGCCAACTCTCACAGTAAGTCATCTAAACTAATTACCGTAATTTCCAGTCTATAGAGCACATCCGAATATAAGCTGTGCACACTAAATAATAATAATAATAATTTGTACATATAAAAACTGTATAAGCTGCGGTTGTTCACGTTGTAACATGAGTGGCAGCTACTGAGAGACATGTGCAGCTCTTCTAGATCAAGAATCAACCACCAGATAACATTTCACAGACTTTATTTTTCTTTTCAGCACAAAGAGACAGAGTGAACCCCACACATCTTCATGAGAACTACCACTCTCACTAGCTATGTTTACATGCGCAAAATTCTTTGACTGAATTGAAATGTTTTCAGATTAAATAATTCAAATGTATCGTTCACATTGGCACAATCCGTTCACGACGAGCGTTTACATGCAGCGGGCTTTTATTCTGAACAGAAGTACTAGCATGCCCAGAGTGGTAAACTCTCCTTAAAAAAAACATAGAAGAAGAAGTTCTACTTCCGGTTTACTTCCGGGATGAACGTAAACAAACCTGAGCGCCCAAAATGGACCCGTAACAGGTTTTAATGACCGTGGAGACGTTACTGCACTTCCTGACCGAGCTACAGGTGATACAGATACTTTTGAGCTCTTTCAAAGTTTCTAGTAGAAATGTTGTCGCTCACCGACCAGTTCTGCTTCTCCGTCATGCTAATATTATTAGCATTAACCAGACAGAAACACGTCAGGTAGACATAGGTCACACATGCGCAGTCAGGTCAGTTTTTATGATCAGAAAAAAATGAACAGACTAAGTGTTTTCACGCACACCTTTCGGATTATGAATCGGTGTAAACCACCCGTCTCATTCTGATTACAAATTCTTTTGGACTGAGCTAAATCAACAAAAAATAATCTGAATGGGGCATTTGCATGACACATTTTTGTTCCGAATGACTGTTTAATCTGATTACTTATGTCCATGTAAACATAGCTACTCATGGTTACGCTGCTGAATGGCCTAACACAAATTAAAATAATAAACAAACAAAGCTAAGAAGAACAGACTAATCACTAAAAAATACAATGCTAAACAGCTAACCATAATGATTAACGAACATAATTTTTACCCATAATCCCTCCCTGAGGGCACGTGCCTGGCAGTCAACCATAATGAACCAATGAGGTAGTCTCATGAGAGGACCCAGCCCCCAAGAGATCTGTATTGATGAGACTATCCATCCATCCATTATCTTTTACACGCTTCTTCCATTTTGGGTCACGGGGGTCGCCGGTGCCCTTGTCCAGCAATCACTGTGCGAGGGGCGGGGTACACCCTGGACAGGTCGCAAGTCCATCACAGGGACACACAGAGACAAACGAGACAATCGTTTACTTTCTCACTCACACCTAGGGTCAATTTAGATTTACCAATCAGTCTAACATGCATGTTTTTGATCTGTGGGAGGAAACCAGAGTACCCGGACAAAACCCACACATGCACAGAGAGAACATGCAAACTCCACTCAGATGGCCCCTGGACTGGGATTTGAACCGGCAACCTTCTCTCTGAGATGCGGCAGCTCTATCAGTTGTGCCACCGTGCTGCCCTTGATGAGACTATCTGTATAAATAAAGGTTAAAAAAATCTGACCAATGAAATTACCTAAAAGGTCACAGTCGAACCAATGAAAGAGGGAGGGGAGGAGGGAATCCCCCCACTCCACTGACCCACCCCTCAAGTGTTATGTGCATTGGGCAGCTATGTGAGCACCCGGA